AAAATTCTGGGCACTTTGCTGAATGAAGATGGATAAAGCGTAATCCCCACTTTTCACTGCTCACATTCTAGTGGCGTGTTTGGGCATTTAACTTTAGTCAGAGCAAATGGAACATTCCTGACCTCAATTCTTTGCTTTCCTTTTATCTCAGCTGCTTCATGTGATGATGATCAGAAAATTGTTGGACTTTAGAGTTGTAACAAAATTTAGATATCCTTTAGCATCAGATATTCAATGGTTGTTGATAAAAGTTAACAGAAATACAAATGGCCTTTAAAAATATGAAAAAGGTACAATTTTACTCATAAGTGAGGTGCATATTAAAAACAGTAAGATAATATTTTTTAAATCAATTCAAAGGTTTTGAGAACCCACTCCATTGGTGAGACTGTGGGAGGGAGATCCAGCACTCACACACAATGCCAGTGAGAGTGTAAATGGAAGGAATCTGTCTTTCAAAATTACAAATGCAAATGTCATTTGACCCAGCAGAACCATTTTATCTTTTAGATGTAAATGCATTTGTGAAAAGACTTATGTCCAAGGTATTCAGGTCAGCACTGCAGTAACAGAAAAGGAAATAATCTAAATGTTACTAGGGGACTGGTTAAACTGAAAGTTCCATACAGTGAAACTGCAGGCAGTTGTAAAAAGGAGGAGATTCTCTTCGTATTATTATAACAAACACCCAAAGATACAGTAAGTGAAAAAACAATTCAGGACATTAAGTATACCATACTATCTTTTGTGTGAAATGAAGGAAAATATACCTCTGTGTAATTGTATAAAATTCTGCAAAGATACAAAAAAACTAACTGGTTCTCTACTGGGAGGGGAAGGTGATGGGAATTATAAAGGATACATAGAAATGAGACTTTTTTTCTATCTTTTTTTTTTTGTATTTGTTTTCAGAATTATGTAAATTGTAACTTGTTCGAAAATAAGGTAAAAAATTCCATGCAATTTCAGGTATAGCTTTTTCATTAATAAGTGGTTTGTACTTTTGCATACATTAAGTTCATTTTCACCTCAGTCTCTTAGATCTTAAGTGAAAAAGCTAATGTTTGGAAAATGTGCACTTTAGAAGTTGGCTTTTAACTGTGAATTCCAGTGCGCTCTTGTCTACAGTTATCCATGCTGAAGAAGGCCTCACCATCCATTCAGTGACTCTCTGAGACATCTTTCAATGTAGGTAAAGGTCAGAAGTTAGAATTCATTTCTACATTGAGTGTTTTAAAAGTCTGAGGTTTCTTGTGGGGGAGGGTATTCTCAAACACATTTGGGGTATATTTTCAGAGCATGCAAACATCTCCATTTGTCAGTGGTCTCAAAGCAGTAGTAGCTCTCTTCTGTCCCCCGTCCTCTGGGGAGCTCTGTGATGACCAAGGCTATGAGGTTGGGCTGGAGATCACTCTAGCCACAACCTAAATGCCTGGCAAGGACAGGAAATTATTCTGGGAAATAAATATAGGGGTACCATGGCAGATGGGGGGCTTTAAAAAGAGAAAAAGCCAAAGGATTTGGAAGAGAGGAACTGAAGATTGAGGGGGTGTTAGCATGAAGCATTGGATGGGGCTGGGAAAGGAACTGATAGAAGGGAGCAAGAAGAGAAAGTCAGGATTTCAACAGACACCACTGGAGATGGCAGAGAGAACAGGGGTGGTGGGAATGAAAGCTGGAGCAGGCACTATGGAAAACAGTATGGAGGTTTCTCAAAAAATTGAAAATAGAGCTACCCTATGACCCAGCAATTATACTACTGGGTATTTACCCCAAAGATACAAATGTAGTGATCTGAAGGGGCACATGCACTCCAATGTTTATAGCAGCAATGTCCACAATAGCTAAACTATGGAAAGAGCCCAGATGTCCATTCATAGATGACTGGATAAAGAAGATGTGGTATATATATACAATGGAATATTATGCAGCCATCAAAACCCCCAAAATCTTGCCATTTGCAACGACATGAGTAGAACTAGAGGGTATTATGCTGAGCGAAATAAGTCAATCAGATAAAGACAATTACACTATGATCTCATATGTGGAATTTAAGAAACAAACAGAGGACCATAGGGGAAGAAAGGAAAACATAAAACAAGATGAAATCAGAGAGGGAGAACATAAATCATAGGGGAAATCATAGGGGAAGAGAGGAAAACATAAAACAAGATGAAATCAGAGAGGGAGATAAACCGTAAGAGACTCTTAATCATAGGAAACAAACTGTTGCTGGAGGGGGGAATGGGGTGAGGGGATGGGGTAACTGAGTGATGGACATTAAGGAGGGTATGTGATGTAATGAGCACTGGGTGTTGTATACAACTGATGAGTGACAACTCTACCTCTGAAATTAATAATATACTATATGTTAATTGAATTTAAAGAAAAAAAAAAAAGAACAAGGGCCTCAGTGAACAATCACCACTATGTTACTCCTTCCCCTTTTTGATTAGGGTAAAGACCAGACTTGTCAAGAGTATTACTCGAGGTGACTGGGGGAAGTAGGAGTGAACACAAGAACAAAGGGAAATATGAAGCACCGAGGTAGGTGCCAGAACAGCCTGGCTGGTGCTCAGGGAGCTGTAGAGGCGGCTCATCCCCTAACCAGCAGGCTTGAAATTCCATGAAGGCACCTCCCACAGAGGAAGAGCAAAGCCTTTGGGTTGCACTCAAGGCCCGAGGAGGGGTTCCTTCCCCACTTCCCCACACCCCAGGAAGCTCCACAGGTGGAAGGCTGTGTCAGTGGATCAGAAGCTGGCAGTTTCCATGCCAGCTTCCCATGTTTTCTCCCACACTATTTTTTTTCTCCTACCTTATTCTCTTCATATCCTCTGTTATATGCCCTTCCTCTACTCACAAAGGTATATCTGGTGGACCCACCTCCTGCCTAACCCCAACTGTGCATGCCTCCTCTGGCTCCCCCCACATCTCCAATTATTGTAAATTTGCCTAGGGGGTGTCGAGTCACAGTCACTGCCATCACCTCAGTCTCTAGACTCCACTTACCACTTTAAGGGGCTCCCAAGAGCAGGGTCAGCACTCGAATGACCCTGAGATGGAGGACCTCCTTAAATTTGCTCCCTAGGCCCTTACATGCCTTACCTGAGCCTAGTCCTGTTCAGCACTCTCCTTCCCCCTTCTTCAGACTGGGTTAAGACCAGCTAACTGGGAAGGGCTGTCTGGAAGTTAGGACACCAAGAGGGAAATGGGGAGGCCTAATTTGTGGCATCTCAAAGTTTATGTTTTTGGGAGCGGCAGTGAAAGTGCTCATGCTTGGCTGTGTAAATACCCCCAGAGCTGTCTGGTGTCCCCCATTCTGTTGTAGCTTTTTGATTACCAGAGAAAAGCTGAGAATGGAGGGAAAAGGAGAGGGGAAGACTGAGAGGGGAAATCGGTGATACGATGTTTATTCAACTGACAGGGACCATAGGAACATATTAGAGGCCCTAATGATGCAGACAAAGGTCCCCAATGGGGTAACCTATGGGAAATTCACAGTCCATCAGAGGGAACCAAGTCAGACAACAACTAGAAATCTGGCAGGCACAGAGTAGTTGGGCTGGAGAGCAAATGGGCATACACCTCCAAAGCTTCCTGTATGAGATGCCATGGTGACAGTATTGTGAGGCATGGCAGGAAAGTGGTGCCAGGGAAGGGCTCGGCTGAGGAACATGCTGAGTACAGGGACTGTGGTCACACTTGATCTCCCAGGCTTGGAAGAGCCAGTGCCTGGCATGTAGTGAGATGGCCCAAAATGGTTTATAGAATTGAGACTGATTCTCAGAAACCACAAGAGACAGGAAGGGACTGAGTAAATCAAAGTAGCAAAAAGTAGAAATCCACTTTGGAAGCTACATCAAGGGAAAAAGAGCCTGCAGGAATGGAGTACAGGGCCTAGACTTGGCAGTATAGACAACCCATTGGACAGGTTAGGGTGCATGAGGAAGAGAGAGAGAGAGAGAGAGGAAGAGATGCAGAGTGGTAAGATGGCAGCTGAGCTGCTAGAGCCAAGCCAAGAATTTGAGGGAAGAAAGTGGGAAGTATGAATCATTGACCCTGCTTTGTAGGCTTAAACCTGACAAACTGGACAACAGGCAGAGGGACAGGGGGCTTGGTAGAATGGAATTGGCTAGAAGCTTGAAGAGAGTTAACTGTGATAGAGAAGGATAGTGAGTAGAAGAACAATAACCTTGGGAAGGTGAGGCATTCCCCAGGCAAAACAAAACAAAATAAAAAACCCAACCCAAACCAAACCAACAGAAAAAGAGAAGTGGGAGCAAAGAGTGGAGAAGGAGCTCCATTTATTGGGAAAATGGAGGCAGTGACTGGAAATGCAAGAGAGAGAGACCCCTGAGGCCTGTAGCTGAAGAAAACTATAGCCAAGTTTCTCCATCTGGAGGAGAGGGGCTGATGACCTCTCCCAAACTCCAACCTTTTGATCTTGGGAGAGCCCCACAGGGGTGGTGGGTTGGTAACAGTCAGTTCAGTCTGTCCTTGTGGGTTTGGTTAGGAGAGGAGCTAGAGGAGGTAAAGCAACCAGGGTCTGCAAGACAGGTCCCCTCCTGCAGCCTGAATGGACAGAATCTTCAAAGGAGGAAATGCATTTTTGACATATGTGCCATGGCTTAAATGATTACAACTCTACCTGGTGCACAGAGTCTGGGTTCAAATCTCGCTTGTGTCACATATTACTAAATGAGCCTCGTTCTTTCTTGTGTGGCTCTCCAATGCTTCCATTGCCCTTGCCCATAGGGTAGGCCAAATCATGGTTTGGAATCCCTTGCATGGTACCTCATTGATCTTCAATGCAATCCTGAGGCTAGAAAACTTGGTTCCTTAAGGGCTTGGGAGAGTTGGCCTTACTCGCTTATCCTGAGCTAAACGTTCACCCTGCATGCCTCCAGGCCAACTTACTAGGCCAGGAGAAGGACCAGGTTAACTAGCAAAGGAGGACCATTTCCTTGATGTTGGTTTTTCAGTTTTACAATGGTTTTCCCCTTTGAGATATCTGCTCCTTTTTGTCTTTTCAGATTTCTGGACCCATGAATCCTTAGTGTCCATTGTCGAAGCTCTAGCCCCAATCAGTTACAACAGTCTGGCATGGCTCCAACACAGTCTCTAAAATTGTTGATTAACCCACTCCTTTTACTGATTTGAGGGTGGGGACTCAATGGAACCAGAACTGAGGAGAAACTAGCGTTGAAGGGTTGCAGAAAATAAATCTGACCACAGGGCATAAAGATTCCCCTCTCTCTCCATTTGAAGAAGGTAAGATACCACTGATTGAAGTGGAATTTGAATCTCCTGGCCAGTGATTCTCAAACTTTAGCATATATCAGATATTCTGGAAGGCAAGTGAAGACTGATTGCTGGGCTCCACTCCCAGAGTTTCTGATTCAGCTTGTCTGGGTGGAGCCTGAGAGTTTGCATTTCTAAAGCAAGTTCCCAGGTTATGTAGATGCTGCTGGTACAGAGACCATATTTTGAGACCTAAGACCTCATATAACGCTCCAGGGAACAGAAGGAAATTTTGCCAGCTCAGGATTTCTATGGGGTCTAAAGGAATAGATTTCACCTTTCTATTACTGCCCAGCCCCACTCATCCCCATCCACCACTTATCTGAACAGAGATGGAAAAAACATTCCTCTGGCACCTCTGGTTCTGAGTCAGGACTCACCTTGCCCTTGATGGAAATGAGGAAACAGTGGTTTAAGTGTAGGAGTGCAGGAAAGGAAAGGATTTTTGTCACAAATTATCACCCCTTTAGCTCCCCGAAGGTATAACATCATTTTGACAAGGGAAACCTTTTGCCTTCCACTTCTACATCTGTGTTAAGGCTTAAAATGTAAATAACTTGGAAAAGCTAACACTTTGAAGGGATTCTCTGCAGATATACTTTGATGGGGTGCAAAGAGGAGGATATTTGGGCCCTGAACAGAGTAGAGGCACCACAGAAGGAAAAGATAACGGGTTCCTGAAGATGGATTTCTCCATTTTATATTTGCCCAGAGAGAACACAGAGACAGTTTTTTTTTTATTTAAAGGGGGTAGGGTAGACATGTGGCAAAGCCAGTTATGGGAAAGATGGGAGTTTGAAGCTGATTCCCTGTGGGAAAAATCATTCAAATCTATTCACCCATCTGATGGCTGCTGCTTATTTTATTTTTCGTCCAAGGGAAGTGGTGTTGGACCGAGGTAGAGAAGACAGTGGTATACCAGAAATGACCTAAAGGGATGCCCTTTCTGCAGAAAGCTCTTAGACTCATCATGCCTTTCATTTGGGTGCTATGACAGCACTCACACTTGGGGGCTTCACTTGCTATCCTTACAATTACTAAAACAGATCAACAGCTGGAGGTTAACATTTGGTTATTAAGATGTGTGATCTGATAGTACGGAGAGTCACCTCCCACAAGTCTTTAAAACAAGGTTTGTGAGGAGCTCCATTTGTCAGCATGTCATCTTTTTTTAAGAAAAAACATAGAGTAGAATGTCAGCAATACTCTTTTAGTCATTAAAGACTAGACTCTGTCTTTATACCCTACTTCCTCTCATATCTAGTCCTTAAAATATTTAGTGATCTTTGCCTTGTAATTTTTGACACAAGTATATAAATGACCATATTGGGTCACGGTAACTCCCCATGACCCGTTTATTGATTCCATGGATGGGCTCTAAACCTGCTAACTGTGTATATATAAAACAGAGTGAGTTGCTAATGTCTGTTTTTCTCAAAAGTGAGTTTCTGGTTTTTATCAGAGTCTCATAAGGGTCTGTGATCTGAAACAGGTTCTGAACCATTGCTTACACAGAGCTGATCTGCATTAATGAATGAGGCACAGTGAGAGGGTAAAAGAAATGGTGTAGTCCGGTTTTCCCACTGGAATCCAATACTCTCTTACAGCCTGGGGTATCTCCCAATACTAATCCTAAAATGCTCCTGTCTCTGAGGACCTTACAAAGGGCTGGCCATTTTGCTCTATATGCAGGAACATAAGCAAGAGAAGTGCATTCCAGGCAAAGAAGGAAAGCTGCTCTGAGTGGCAAAATGGAGGTATAGGCTGGGTTGTTTGAGTCATATCCACTCTAAGAAGCCCAGTCAACAAAATGATCCTATTTTCAGCTCCATTTGGGTCCAGAATTCTGATGAGCTGTGATTCACCCAGTTTTTTCTAAGCAAATGGGACAATCACTAAATTACATTGTTGCAGCTTGCTTCCTCTTGTCTCTCTGGTTAATTCCACCAATTGTGGTTGAGAAATAAGTGTGTTAAGGAAAAACCAGAATCTAAGCATTGAAGAGAAATTATCCCACTTTCATCTGCTTTGCTCCTTTCTCTTCCTAACCCCAAACTGCTCTTATATATAAGAAAATTTTTAAAAGATTGGTATTAACACATTATCAATAAAGCAAAACAATGACAACTCATCAACCAACAGATGCTAGAATACTTATACAATTCCTGGAGTTAAGAGTCTTAGTGTGGATTCCTTCCCAGAGCTGGGAAGAAAACCCAAAACACTACTTCTCCCCACTGTCAGCTTAAAAGCTAACCACAGCCATTTTCCCTAAAGTTCTGTTTCTGGGAGAATGAGATCCTCAAGAAAAACTGCTTCCTTGATGAGGCAATCAAGGTCAAATAAGAGTGAGGACAACAACCTCCAAGCACTGTGATTCCTGTCCTAATTTCTCAGCACTAAAACAAGACAAAGAAACCCACTAAGCACAAAGCTTCTATATGCATCTTACTTGAAACCGACAAGAAACAGCTCACCTCTCTGAGGATATGTCTTTCTCTCTCTTCCCAGGCAAAAAGAATCTGTGGCCCAGAGATTTGGATCTAGACATACATATCCACAGTTATCTTGATCTCACTTACACCAGGGAAGGCTTTACACTTCAACTTTCACAACTTAACCCATCACTTAACCCTTTCCACGAGGGCTCCCTTAATTGCTCAGTTTACTTCCTATCTTGAAACAAAACAAAAATCCCATACAATCCCTACTACCCTCATCCCCAGAAAACAGCCCCTAGAAAATCTAGCTTGTACACTTTGCACTTTGCATGCTCTCTTCAACGACCCTGCACACCAATACACATAGACACAAAAAGACACAGTCAAGAGGAGAGGGGTCTGTTCAAGGGATAAAGTTTTTTTCTTCTGTGTGGGCCTAGGTTCCTTGAGGGGTATAAATTCATCTCTTAGCATTGTAGTGTGATCTCTCAGCTAGATATATGTATGAGGAGGATGAAGGGAGTTGGAAAAAGAGGGTGAAAAGGTTCTTATTTCTATTTTTCAGTAGGGGATAGTAAGAGGTTTGGATGTATATTTGGATGATCAGGGTAAGTGTGATGGACCCACACAGGAATGAGGTCTGCCCCTCAGCTTTCATTTGGATAAAAAAAAAAGGGGGCTCTGGGGCTCACTATATCTTTCCTGTTTCCTCATTACTCTCTAACCCAGTGTTCACCAGTGTGTTTTGTGGAGTCACCAGTTCTGTGGGATGTGAGATAGAAAGGACACTGAGGTCAAACACGTTTAGGAAACACTGTGTTAGAAGTGTTTAACAATTCTCTGTACACATAAGTTCTTAGCGCCTTCAATATACTAATATGGTCTTCCTCTCTATATACAGAGAGGATAGAATAGTTACAGTACACAAAGGTGTTACTCAAATATTTAACTGGTATGGCATAGGTTCCAACCACTTAGAATGGACCACAGCAATAAAGTGCAGATTCTCAAGTGGTACCCTTGATAATGGGCTAGGGCTGAATATCAGCCCATGCAGTAAGCACTGTTTCCTAAAAGTTTTGCACAAAGAACTCCATTTTATGTGATATCTCACAGAACTGGTGAGAAATGTCTGGCCAATGTTAGAACCTCCTCTTTCTAGGGATGGAGCCAGGGTTCATGATTCTGGCCATCGGGGTGCAGGAGAGGGGCAGTTCTGGCAGAGACTCCTGGTAGCACCAGCTGCTGATAGATGTGACCACAGCTGCAGCAGAAACAGATTTCAAAAGACAGATGTCCCTCTGTCCCAGCTGCTCCGGGGACTCTGTCCCTGGTGGGTCAGCAGGTGCCTGTCCAGGTGATGTTTACGGCCAAAGCTCTTTTCACAGCGAGGGCACTGGAAGGGCTTCTCCCCAGTATGGGTCAGCCAGTGTCTCACCAGGTGGTGCCGTCGGCCAAAGCTCTTCCCACACTCAGTGCACACATGGCACTTTGGCACTGGTGGGGCACGCTGCCGTTTCCTAGCCCCTGGGCTCTCTCCAACCTCTTGACCCTTGCAGGATTTGCCTTCCGTATGCACTCTCTGGTGGCTGGCCAGATGGGAGTTGCATCGGAAATTCTTGCCACACTCTGAGCACCTGCTGGGCTTGTCATGTAGGTGGGTTTTCTGGTGCCGGATCAGGTGGTGTCTTCGCCCGAAGCTCTTTTCACACTTGAGGCAGCTGTAGGGCCGCTCCCCAGTGTGTGTTTGCTGGTGCCTGGCAAGGTGGGAGCCCCACACAAACTGTTTCCCACACTGGGGGCATGTGTGCGGTCTTAAAAGGGAATCCATCTCTGTGCTACATAGAAGGTTTGAGAAGCTATCTTCCTGAAGAAAAGGTGGGCCCAGGAGCATTCCTCTGGAGCTCCTGGGCATGGAATCCCAGCTCTCATCCTGTTCTGGGTTCCAGAGAACAGTATCTTCAGACACACTAGATAACATTCGGGGAGGTTCTGCTTCTAGTTCAGGGGTATCGCCCTCATGCTCACTTCCATCTCCTGTGGAGAAGGGAAAATACCAACCCCAAGAGGGGAGTCACAAGAGAGTACTCCGGGACCCAAGTCACAGGTAAGGTTGTCTGACTCCTGTTAGGGCCTAAACCTCACCCTACAAAGGCTGGGAGAACAGACTCTAATGTTGTACAAGATAGTACAAGAGGTGTAGAAGTTAAAAACCTAGGCTTAGGAGGCAGATTTCCCAATATTGAACCTCAGCTTTCCCACTTAACTTCTGTAAGCCTTCATTTCCTCTTCTGTAAAATGGGAGTAATTGTAAGACAGATGTTATAAAATAGATAGCATAATACCTGCACATCGTGAGCACTTAGTAAATGGTCTATGCTATTGTTCTTATTTATTTATTACAATTCCTTCCATCTTCCTGCCTAAGCATAGATGGAGAGAGTTAAGAAATGTGCTGCAATCCTTACTGGATGAGTGATCACCTGTCAGCAATACTAGAGACACTCTGGAAAGCATCGCCACAATGGTGGGAGGTTGAACAATAACAACTAACATTTATTGAGTGCTTACTATGTGCCTGGTACTGTTCTACTCTGTTAACATATTTAAGTCACACAATAATTTTCTGATGAGGAAACCAAACAGGGGTTAATTACTCTTCCAAGGTCCCCAGGTGTGGTCCTGGATTCAAGTCCACAGTTTGGTTCTATAGCCTGCCTTCTAAACCTTTCTGCTACACTCTCTTGCCTTTGGAGAAAAAGATCTGTAAACTGTAACTCACTGAGCAGAGAAGGGATTAGATGGGCACATAATGTTAACACTCCAAGAGGGCTGAAAGCAGCTGCTGAAAGTCTATTCCAGATGCTTACCTGTGTATGTGACCCTCAGGATGTCCCTCTCCTCCAAGTCCTGGGGGTCAGGGACCCACTGTTCTTCCCCTCCTTCTAGTTGAGAAAGCATGTCCAGTTTGGGAATTGGAAATCCTGCCCATAGAGAAGGAAAACAGAGATGTCAATGAGTTCAACTATAATTCTCTTTCTGAAAAAAAGCTGTTTCCTAGATTACTCCTTGGAACTGAAGATAAAAGAAGGCCAGATACAGGCCTTTCCCATGTCCCCATTTCTGTAAATTCCCTCTTCTTTCTTTTAGATAATCATATTCTCTTCTCTAGTGTGTCTATTCCCTTCCACTCAAATTTCAAATACTTCCAGTCCAACTGTCCTTAACTTCACTTAACTAGCCCTACCACAGCTTCCTACCCCCACTCCCATCTTACCCTAGATGGCTTGCTGAGTTTCCAGGGACTCAGTTCTATCACTTAAATGTCCTTCTCTCTGCCTTTTTAAGATTTTATTTATTTATTTGACAGACAGAGATTACAAGTAGGCAGAGAGGCAGTCAGAGAGAGGAGGAAGCAGGCTTCCTGCTGAGCAGAGAGCCCGATGTGGGGCTCGATCCCAGGACCCTGGGATCATGACCTGAGCCGAAGGCAGAGGCTTTAACCCACTGAGCCACCCAGGCACCCCCTTCTCTCTGCTTTGTAAGAACCTCCCAATTCCCAACCAAGAAGAGCCTAAAGTTCTCTTCTCCAAAATTCAGCATTATTTTGCTATTGTTTTTAAGAAATGACACCTCATTTCCATTCTCTTTGGATTAGCCTTAATGCTCCTTCTCTGGTGAAAGCTTAGATTTCCAGCCAAGAACCCTAGGTAGAAACTATCTGATAGCTCTGGAGCAGATGGTTCGATCCTCCCAGAGTATAATCTTTAAAAAAAAAAAAAAAAAAAGTGGCTAGGGGAGATCATGCTTACTTAGAGAGACCACTATGCCACAGTTTTCTTGCATGACATATTCTCCATAAAAGTCTGTCTGAGAAGGGTCCAGGCTCCGCCATTCCTCCTGAGAGAAGCACAATGACACATCCTTGATGGTTACCAGGCCCTGAAACAAAATGTAGCATCATCTGTTAGTAAGTGTTCCTTAATGAAAATGTGATCCTAGTATAAAAGGCTGAAGTAGTAGAGGAGAGGGCATGAGAACATCTAGAGAAAGAATTTCCCAGAGGTCCCTGGAAAAGGCATATAGTTTTGGTGAAAGATAAATAAGCAGAGGGGCAAAAGTATGGTCAATGAGTGAGTGAAGATAATGTCTCTTGATGAGTTTCCCACTAGGACCATGGGAAGTTGGAAGGACGATGAACTCATTGCTCCCTCTGTTTAACTACAGGTATCTGCCCAGAGTTTCTCACTTGCCTTATTCTTTTAATTGCAGAAATTGAGTACTAGCCTCTCCTTTAACCACTTGACGTTTCCTCTTCTATTATCACAAAATGATATAGATAAAACATTATTTCTTGCCCTCTGCCCATCGTGCCTCACCTTTACCTTTTGAGACAGCATGTGTAGTGGGTAGGAGCCCAGATTCTTGAGCCAAATGACTCATAGCTCTGCCATTATTAGCAGTCTGTTCTTACACAAGTGTCTTAATCTCTTCCTACCCTATTTTCTCATCTGTAAAATGGGCATAATCGGGTTTCTCTCAGGGTTGAGTGGGTTAATATACCTAAAACATTCAGAGAACCGCAAGCATGTAAGCACTCTTGAGAGTGTAGCTACTACTACTATTATATTTTTTTCCATGGGTCTCCCATTGCCTCCTGAATCTAAACCTATTTTTTCTCTCTGGCTCTGCCCCATCTTTCTATCTTCTCTTCTTTTCCATAAATGCTCCATTATCCACCCAGTAGTCTTGCCTACTTTATGCTCTTCCAAGCTTCCTTCAGATCCTCTTTTCCTAATCTTTCCAGATTTTTTTCTTAAGGGACATTAATAAATTGTTCTTAAAATCCCTCTAGGGATGGGACAGCCATCCATTAAAAACAACCTCTAGGAATTCCCCTCTTCTTGTCATGCCACTTACTTTTTCAAGGATATTATAAGCGCCCAGAAAGGGAAAGAATCTGTTCAGTTATAAGATAAAGATACCATTAGTAAACATGTGAGATAACAAATCAATAGGATGATGCTGAGGCTACAGAAAGGCAGCAGTGATGAGACCCTGGGAGAGGCCAAGGGAAGCAGGCAGCCCACCTGTGATCCTGCCGCAAGAAGTGCAGCTGCCATCTCCCAATCTCCGGTGCTCCCCTCCTGGGGAATGGCAGGAACCCAGGGAGCTGACTGAGCTGGAAAGAAGAAAGAGGAACCACTAGAAATGGACCATCCACCCTTTCCCGGTGAAAGCCTGGGCCCCATGTTAGAGGAGCTTAAGGGTCACATTTTCCTATATCTATGCCCATTGGTAAAACTCAAATGCACACACATAATGGAAGAGACCTTCACTCAAAATGTTCTGTGAGGGTATTAGGTGGTTTTTAGTAAAGCTTATATGTCAGCCATCTCTACTAGACTAGCTGTGATTTGAATTGATATTATTTGAAGAAAATTTTCACCTAGTAAAGTGCACAGTACTGGGAGTGTTCTCAACAGTAATAGGAGTTGTTGTCACTTCCTTTGTCTCCCACATTCAATACCGCTAACCATGCACTTGTAGCATGTGGAGGGAGTGATCATGCAAGAAATGGGAGAAGCCCAGTTTTATGGTTTACAGTATCCAGGAGCTCCTTATATTCCTATGACCAGAGCCCAGGAAGCTGGGAATAATGGACTAGTCCTGGTACTGGTTACAGTATTCAAACACACATACACCCTTCAGGCTCTCACCCTTCTCCTGAAGGGACTGTGGTTCCTCTTCAAGGTCGCAGCACAGGTGTTCCAGTGGCCCTGGTGCTATTCTCCATGGCCCCTCTTCTTGGCTTCCCCTTTCCACCTGAGGCTCTGCTCCATCCAGCTGGACATTCATTGACTCCCATCCTGTCCCCAGGACTGCTGTCTGTTCTGAGAGCATTTTTGCTGCAAACCCAAATTGTGACCTGGAACAAATTCATTATCAGCTGCTCCCATTAAAGATGGAAAGGGGTGATATTCCTAAGAGAGTTATGGAGAACAGCCTCAGGGATAAAAAGATAAAACTGGATAAGAGGAGCTTGATGGCAGATGAACTTTAAAAGTTTGGTGTGTTCCAATCAACTAAGCCTGGGCCAAGCTTCCTAAGGGAACTCAGAAGTGAGCAGGTGCTAAACAGCAAAGTTACTAATAGTTATTCTGGGGACTTCATTGCAGAAACAGAATATCTCTGATGGCTGGATGAACTTCATTTGAAAAAAAAAAAAGAACAATCCTAGAAAAGCTATTCATTTAATTTCAACCACTGAAAATACAATAAACTAAGCAATCTGGACACATGTAGGATGTGATGTGCCCTGATTTACACTCAACAAAAATGGATATAATCACATACAAGATTTTCTGCCACAAATCCCATTCTCATCAATTAGTTCAAAATGAAATAATTACTGAATGTAGAAAACCCAGTCAAAGGTGTGTGTGTGTATGTGTGTGTGTGTGTAAGGAGTACACCCCTCCTTTATAAGACTGAACCAAATGACACCTCACTTAAGTCTCAACAAAGAGAAATAACCTATCACTTTGATGCAGAAAATGAGAACTGGTAAGAAATGTGGTAGAAAGACCAATAACTCAGAAAGCAGGTATAAAAATCCAAAGAAACCCTAAATTGTTGGTCAGTGAGGAGTTGATGTCTAATTGAGAAAAGTAATAAAAGAACAGAAAGGGTTTGAACCAGACTGGATAAAGGAGAAATAGTTGATGCTAACATGATCTCAGTGTGTGAATTAACAATCCTGTGAGTTGAGACACAGGAAAGAACTATTCAGGTCTTATTAGAAAAATACATTCAGTTTTAAAGAAAGGAATGAAGAAGCCAGAATATGTTTCATCAGAAGAAACAAAAGTGGAGAAAGGGATGGGAAATATGGCCATTGGGGAAAAGTTAAAAACAATAGACATAGTTTTCTCCTGTCTAGAGAAAAAAAGCTGATGAATGATGCTACCAAGAAAGAGAAATGGTTTATAGCTCTGTATAGATCTATTCTCTTGATTGCAAGAGAAGAGATTTAGATGAGATAAAGATTTTTTTTACAGATTTTATTTATTTTAGAGAAAGAGAAGGAGGGGGGGAGAGCGAGAGAGGGCATGAACAGGAGGAGGGGCAGAGGGAGAAGCTAAGCAGGGGCTCTAACCAAGGACCCCGGGATCATGACCTGAGCCTAAGGCAGACACTTAACCAACTGAGCCACCCAGGCACCTCTAGATGAAAAAAAAAAAAAAAAAAAAAAAAAAGTCTTAATAATCCTGTAGTGCACAGGACCAGGTTGTGGACTTTTCTCTGAAAATCTTAGGAGTCAGAACAGGTCTCATGTGTTGTGACAAGGGCTTCCCTGACTTCTCGCAGAGAAACAGTCTATGAGACTGCACAGAGTCCTTTCTGCTTGGCAACATTGTTTGTGTGTGTGTGTGTGTGTGTGTGTGTGTGTGTGTGAGAGAGAGAGAGAGAGAGAGAGAGATTATTATTATTAAAGTACTCAAGAAGTCAGAGCCAGTGAAAGGCTTCCCAAAACAGGTCAGAACCTTGGTTAACTATCCTGGCTCACTCATATTCATTCAGTAACATTTGCAAGAACCTAGAAGCCCTGGACAGGTAATGACAGATGTCAAGTTGTTTATTTTCTTGCCTATTTGTCTTTGACAGAAGAGGTATGTGGCAACCCTAAGACCAATGCACAGGAAGGGAACAAATTACCCTTTCATCTCAGAAGTCCAAAGAAGTCTCAGGGCCTCATGGGAGCATCCTGGACTGATTCCCGGCTTAGGAGGTTTCCTTTTTAGAGACTTCTCATGAGAAAGGAAAATTCCCAATAAAGCAATAAAGGGAAACCTCCATTTTAGCTCTCTCTTCTGAATTCCAGCCCCTGGGTTTGCCATATTTTTAACATATAAGGCACCAATTCCCTCTCTTCACTGGAGATCTTTTTTGCTTCTCAAGCTCCCTTTGAACATCCTCCCTCAGGGTTTACCTACATCTAATACCTGAACACCTGTCTCAAACTCATTTCTCCATCTCCCCAGCAGCACAGTCCCTTGATGGGAAGCCTGTTTCTGCAGAGTGTACTGGGCTAGCTGTGAGCCTCTCCAGACCACTGACAGAAAACCTGTGTTAGGGCTGGCAAAAATCTCAGCAACAAGGGAGTGGGTACTTATACTCACACTGCATTTCCTAAGATGTTCACTCTCTCAGAGTCAGCACCTGGACAGTTATAAGGGTGTCAGCCCTAACCAGGTTTCTCCTAGCTCCAGGATGTTTCCAGGCCTACCGGAGTCTGGGTTCTAGGGCTTCCATTTCCCACTTTTCCTCACATACCGTCAGGGCACCTGCTGAAAGAAGTTTTTGCAGCGGGCGCTGTTGGACAGGGAAGGAGGGTGTGTGAAAAGAGCAGCCCAAGGGCACGGGCGCGAGTCGCGCTCCGTCGGGGAACCCTGCCCTCTGCCCCGGGTGGGGCATGGGCGGGACGGGCGCCCGCTCCGGAGTAAGGTTGCCGCTCCCCTTCTTCTTGTCACAGTGCCCCTGGAGAGGGTCAAATTTCAGAGAATCCGAGAGAGGCAGAGCCGGGGCAGAAGTGAGGTCAGAAAACAGGTTTCCCGTGAACAGGGGCAAGAGCAAGTCAAGAGAAAGGAGCCACGGGGTAACCTGTGCGCGAGTGACAGCGGCGGGAAGCCGCGGGGCCTGACAGCGACGCCGGGGACCGGGAAGCCGGGCCGAGGGGCGGGCACAGAATGTCAGTGGGGCCGACCCCCGGTTAAGGCTGCGACCCGGAGGCCGCGTCGATCCTCCTCTCGCCCCATGGGTGACTGGGCCCCCACCCGCCGCCCCGGGCAGCCTGGCGTCCCTCCCTCCAGCCGCGACTCTCAGTGGCCCGGCTCCACTCACCCCGGTCCGCTTGGCCTGCGGCCCGTGCCTCCCTCCTGGGCGCCGCCTGCCCCTCCCCTCCGCCCTCGGCTTGGTCGGAGCCGGCGGCCGCGGAGCCAGCGACGGGCGGAGACGGCGGCCGGGCGGGCGCGGGCGGGGCGGGCACAGGAAATCCCCGCCCGCTTCCGGGGCTCGGCGGCAGCAGCGGCGGCGGCGGCGTGGGGGAGGGGGCGTGGGCGGGCCGCGGCCCCCACGCCCCCCGCGCCCCTGCCCGCGGAGCCCCGGATCTGGGCGCCCGCCTGCCGAGGGACGCTGCGGGCCCAGGCCTCCGGGTCCCGCCTACGGTGGCCACCCGCCTACGGTGGCCCCCCGCCTGCTCCCACTCCTGCTCCCTGACATTTTCGGTCCCGGCCACTCGGCCTCCCATGGGGTTCTTTGCACACGGGATCATTAATTACCCCGACATTTAATAACCGCTCGTTATATGCCGGACAGTCGCTGTGAGAACGAATTCTCAGGCAACAGTCTGGAATTCCTCAAAGAGCTTGACTGACTGCTACGTTTCCAGATAGCAGGGATAGGGGGGTTGAGGAGCCTTGAGGACGAGCCACCTGAGCCACCCGTTCCGCTCGAGGGATAGTCAGTTGACCTCCCGGAGAAGGTGCTGTCTGAAGTAGGCCTTGTAGCCCCGTGGTCCGGCTTGCAGGAGCCACTAGCCAACATGTGGCTGCTCATTGCTCGCCGTGTGGCTAGTCCAAACAGAGATGTGTTGTAACACAAACACTTGGTCTAGAAGACTGATTAACAAAAATGTCAAAGAGCTAATAAGCCTATTTGGCATATATAGGGTTAAATACATTATTAAAACTAATTACCTACTTCTTTTCACTTTTTAAATATGGGTACTGAAATTATTAAATTATGTATGTGGCTTGCATTATTTTTCTATTGATAGAGCTACCTCGAGCGAAGCATTAAGATGAATTTGAAAAAAAGATGAGCAGGGACTACAAAACAGAAGAAACCATGATACCATTAGAATCTGTTTATAATCTACAAATCACATTATTTCATTATCACAACAATTTCGTAAAATTGTATAGATTTAAAAAGTAAATGACTCACTTAAGGTCATAGGTGACAATCATTCCTTTAATAAAAATTTATTTTTTTGCTATGTGCTGTAACTAAATGATGGCAGTCAGAGATCCCAAAGGAATTGTCTGTGGATTCAAGGACTCAGTCTTTGGAAAAACAAGTCAACAAATATTTGCAATCAGATGTAAGAGATGCTAAAATGGAGGAATATACTTTGCGCTAGAAACAAAGAAATAAATATGTATGGGAGGGAAGTCAGAGAATGCCTCACAGAAGTCTTGAGGCGGAGGAAAGTGGAGAGAGCTCCCTAATGAGAAAGAAGAGAATGTGCTAGACATAAGGTTGGGAAAGGGAATAGAGTATATTCTAGAACCGATAATAAGACATGTGGGGGAGTGGTACAGCCAGGATTTAAATCTCAGGTCCTGGAACTAAGTCTAGGGGTTCTTTTCATTTATGTTACCACTGTTGATAAATACAAGGTATGTTAAGCAGGGTAGGCTAATGAAACCAGTGTCTCAGTGGTTTAACACCATAAAGGCTTTGTTTCATACAAGTCTGTGTATAGTGGGTTAATTGGGGCCAGTGGGTAAGCTGTCTGCTCCTTGCAATCGTAGGACATGGCTACTATCTTATGGCTCCACCATCACTGGTTGCCTTGGAATCATCTAATCTATGTGCCTCAGATAAGGGAGGAGAGCTGTAGTGGACTTGGAGATATCAGGGGCCACTCCTGGAAGTGGAATGCATCATTTTTACCCCATTCTTTTAGTCCAAATTCAGGTGTGTAGTCACATTTTCTAGTCACCAGTCACCCAACTGCAGGGATAGCTTGGAAGTAAAATGCTTATGCCTAGTAGAAAAGGAAATGGGGTTTAATGAACATTTACATTGCTTCTGCCATACAATGTTAAATTGAACTTAACCAAGCACCTACACCTGACTTTATTTAAAAGAGATATTTGGGGAAAGCTGGCAGATAGATGAGAGAGGCAGCCCAGGCTCTCCATCTTCTTCTTTGGGAAAGAAATCATTGTAAGATTGTATCCTTAAAAAAAAAAAAAAAAAAGTGGTGGGGGGTGAGGGGAAGTAAAATAGGCTTTGGCCTAATGGCATGATAGTGGGGCATTAATATTTAGTAAACGTGCTTTATGCCAGAACCTTGCCTTAAACATCACAAGGGAAAAGTGTAAAATACCTCTGTATTATGCTTTGATGCACCACCTCTTTACCTAGCAGTAAACAAACTGTAAAGTGTAGATGTTATCTCAGCATGGTTCAAGAGTATTAAGTGAACCAAAAAGCAAAATTAGGAATTGAGCCTTCGCCTAAGACTTATAACCTGGTGCACCAGAGTAGTACCTTACCTTTCACAGTAATATATGGACAAGTCCAAACTCCATATAATGTTATAAGATAGAGTAATTAAATATGCAGTGAGCAGCAAGTAGATAATTCCATCTTTTTAAGACTTCTTGGTGGAAAACTTTCATCAGTTTTGATGGCAAAATGTAAGAAGAATATCTTGGATAGAATCAGTAGGCAGAAATGGATAGGTTATCGCATCCTGTGGGATGAAGAACACAGATGTGGAGATGTCTATATAGAGTAGAGGAGAAATGAGATGGGGAAATTGATAGAAAGATCAGAATGTGGGTTTTTTATTTGTCATGTCAAGTAATTTGGAGTCTTTATACTTAGTGTTATAAGGAAGTGATATACCTGATGGTTCTAGTTAAGTCATTCTAAGGAAATTTGGTGGTCTGGGGCTGTCCTATTGATAAGAGTTCAGAACAAAAGAATGGGATGAGTTGGGCCCATAGCCAGATTCTAGTGTATGGAATACAGAGTTCCTTAGGACACAGCAATGTTCTTTCTGAGGCTCAGGGAGAATTCTCAGACATTTAAGGTTTCAAGTCTCTATAGGTCTTTGAAAAACCTCTAGAGACTCAGTTTCTTGTCTATCAGCCTTGGCTTCTTCCTTTCTCAACTCCTGTTCTGCTGTGGCTTGAACAAGAAAGTGCAATGCAGGTGTTCATCAATTAAGATTGTGTTATAAGTTCCTTTATTCGTTGAATGTAATGAATTATCAGCTTGCCTTATAAAAGCCTGTTCAGCCATAATGAAACCATATCTTCAATTGCTAACTAGAATCTACCACCATTTATGACACTGCTTTCCTTTCATTCAAAGTTTTGAAGCTTTATGTCAGAAATGAAATTTCTGTCAACAGGGAAGTGGAGTTGTTTACTTCTTCTATGTCCTACATAGGAAAAGAAGAAAGGCAAGAGAAAGATTGAGGGAAGTTTCAGATTAGGTATCCCATGGAATAAAAGGGTAAGGGCCCCCTGGTCAGTAATTAATAAGTGTAACTAACATTTGGACAGCAATTTACAGTTTGCAAAGTGCTTCTTATATATGTGATCTTCACAACTCACAGAGATAAAGTCTCTTTATTCCTAGTATATGGTTAAGGAAATAAGCATTTAAGTTATAGAACCTCTATGGGCGCCTGGTGGCTCAGTGGGTTAAGCCTTTGCCTTCAGCTTGGGTCAGGCTTGGGTCAGGCTCGGGTCATGAATCAGGGTCCTGGGACCAAGCCCCACACTGGGCTCTCTGCTCAGTAAGGAGACTACTTCCTCTCTCTCTCTCTCTCTGGCTACTTGTGATCTCTCTGTCAAATAAATAAATAAAATCTTTAAAAAAAATTATAGAAACTCCCCCTTTCTATCATCTTGGGCAGACTTATATATATAAACCTGTTTCCTGATCAATAAAATGAATGCCATTATACCTACTTGGTGGGGTTGTTGTGAAGGATGAGATGAGGTATCAGCAATTTAATGCATAGTAAGAATTCAATAAATTATGAGACCTAAGAATTGAAGCTGCATAATGGGTAAAAAGAGAACTCTGGGAGAGTGATAGACAATGCAAAGATAGGATGAAAGATCAGTTTTATTCCAGAATCTTAATGAGGTAGACAGATTGGTTGGAATGGAATGATTTGAAGGTGTCGGTCACAGAGTGGGGTGCTTGAATTGGAGATAGAAAGGGGTTGCAGTTGTTGGTAATAACTAGGTATAGAGTGTGACTGTGAGAATGAGTGGCCAAGATAATGAACAAGGTCATTTCAGGTAAGAGAAAGCCAAGGAGCTAAGGGGCTCCTTGTGTCAGCAAGATTAGTACTCAAAGTATTTGAATTATTAGTATTCAAAGTATTTAACTATCAATACTAGCATGGACATGGATCCATCAAAATGGGTGTAGCTGGTAATGTTTGTTCTGGAGGCACCAGTGACTATGAAAATATTTAAGGATTTTCATAATCACACTTGTGCAGTATAACCCAGGGCTCAAGATGGAATTGTCCACATGGATATTGAAGTCACCAGGAATAATGATGGGGCTATGGAGGGTGTTTCTGAGGCTTATATTCTGAGGCTTATAAGGAGGCTTATAAAGCACTATTCAAAGGCAAGATGTTGGCAATGGGCAAAGGGAGGCTTTAATGAAAGAAGGAGAATGACCAGGATATGTTAGGTGATAAGAAGGAAGGGTTCTGTTAGAATGCTCTAATGGCAAGTGCTTCAAAGGCACTTTATGGAGGAAGGAGGGAAATGGTACTTGAGGCAGCAATGAAGAGCAAAGAGAATACTTTATTTCTAGCCCTAGATAGTGTAAAACCATCATTTATATAGTTAAAAGTTTCATGAAAATAATACCTTAACTATATGCAGTATATGCTGTTGATTTCTCTTCTGTTACCTTATTTAAAAAAAGTTTTCTATTTACTACCCACTAAATTGATTTTACAATCCACTAATGGATTGAAGCTTATCATTGGAAAAGTATTGGTATGTGAGTTGTAGGAATAAAAATAACCAGCTCTTGAAATGACTGCATGGGAAGCATGCTTTGTTAAGAGACAGCCAAGTTTTTTTTTTTTAAAGATTTATTTATTTATTTGACAGATCACAAGCAGGCAGAGAGGCAGGCAGAGAGAGAGAGAGAGAGGGAAGCAGGCTCCCTGCTGAGCAGAGAGCCCGATGTGGGGCTCGATCCCAGGA